CTTGTTTTATTGTGCACACAGATCTTTCTTCCAACATTTTCAGAAGCTATCACAAAAACTCATTTAGGATATGAGTTTCCTGGATCCTCTCCAATCTTTTCTTCCTGTGTTTAAGACGTATATGAGCAGAGGATTTAGAATGAATTAGAGACAAGACTTTCTCCCCTTTGGTTTTTAAGAAGACATGTTCTGGAAATCTCTGGAGAATCTGACAGATGCTGCAGAGTGAAGTCTAGGGTATATACTTTTGGTACCCGAAATATTTCAGAGAACACAGCCTTCAAAGAGCCATATTTGTAATATAGCAGAAGTCACTCAAACCTGCAGTGAAGGTTAGTTCCTAGTTTTTGCTTCTTGAGTGTATGCTTGTCTTAAAACAACTGGCAAAAATCTCTTGACCATGTGAACCTGAAATTCAATGCTTGAATTGGAGAGAGATGCTTTTGCTCATGTGGTTTGTAAAGGCATCCTTTGCTGGTTGTGTTTAGAGGATGTGAAGCACTGAATTCTGAAGGTCAGAGAGGTAAGTCATGACACATTATGGGTAAGCTCATCAGCTCCTTACTTCATAGTGAGTTCAGAAGGGCGTGATGCAGGCAGTGCAGTAAGTGATGGTCATGATGTTCTGAGGCAGAACATTTGGGTTTCCCTACAGGTGTAATCAGTATGAAGTGAGTCATTAGTCATCGCATTTTCTGGAAGAGTCAGAAGAGAAAAAGTTTAGAGTGAAATTGAAAACAGTGCTGTAATTTACTTTTGTCACTCATGAGAGAGGATGATGTTTTGCATCAAGCTTGAAAAAATTTAGTATAACTTGATTCTTATGCTATGCACTAACTAGAAATTAATAGACAAAGAATAGAAGACTTTCCCAATCTGATTAGTATTATTCATACTGTGTGTATACAGCCTATTCATATAGGATGTTCTTTCATATGGAGGTTAGGGAAGGGGTTGGTGGCTGTACAGGTATTAGGGGGAAAAGTGAACACATGGAAGCTATATGTAGAATGGGTAGCTAGGCCAGAAGGAAAATAGTAGAACTCTCCTTAGTAGGAAACTGATTCTTGTCTATGCCAGGTGTTTGCTAATGTTGTGAGGTCATCTGCAAGTTCAAACACCCAGTGAATATGCTATACATATTCTTCTGTTTGAGTACAAAAATCCACTTTTTCAAGGGCTAAAGAATTCTTTAAGTCAAATGTTGACGGAAAGGCTTGGAACCTCAAGGAAGACAGATGTGTCAGTGATCAGGAAAAAACAAAATCACACTAGTGTTTTAGTTAGCATTCACCATTTCAGACCAAATGTTATGTTTTCATATCTTCAAGACAAAAAGAATAAAAAGGAGTTGATACATTAGGAGCTTGAAGCTTGGAATTCAGGGTCTTTATGATTTCCAACAAATACTTCCAAACAGCTTCTGATGCTTTCCTTCAGGCCCCTTTACCTTACAGAGGACATGGATGAACCTTCCAGTCTGAAGATTTCCGTGGTTTCCCTACCTTTCTAAATGAACACGATTCCAGTTAAATGCCATTCTCTGCTTCCACAGCCTGGAAAGAAACTTTGCTCCCTGGGAATTCCACTTCTCCGGGGAAAGTTGGGGGAAGGGGTGGGGCTGTTGGATAGTTCCTTTGCGTTATCTACAAATAGAAAGTTCTAACTCATTGGTGCCTTCTTCATCTTCTCCCTCCTTTCCCCATGTCATTTTCAATCACATATAGATCTATCTGAAGGTTTCTCTTTTGCTCTTAACCTCAGTCACTTTAGGAGGATGTAAAAATCCCTTTGGGAGAGAAGTCAGGTAAAAACAGGATAAAATTGGCAGGCTGTAGTCCCTTTTCCTGCCCCTCCCAAATTATCCCCTCACTCTCCCCTCCTCCCTTGTCCACCTACACAGGGCGCCTTACTTGAGGTCCTCCGGTTCTCCAGCCCCGGCCCTATCCCTCACATTAAGCCAGGTTGGCGCCTACGTTTGTAATGAACAAGTCATTATCTGCCGGCCCCAGACACCCTTTTCAGTGCTTCCGGCCTCTGCAGCCTGGCAGTTCTGTCTGTTGTGCCCTCCTCCCAGTCGCTTCCCAAAGCTCCCAGATACCAAGGCCCCTGGTAAGCAGCGTGAACGTTAGATAGATTTAAAAGGTCCCCAGTTTAGAAGCATATTCCCACCCTGGCAGGGGGCCCGGGGCCCCCGAGTTGGAGGTAGTTTTGGTCATTGAGACTTCGATTGCCCCGCATTTCCCTCCACTGAATAGAAAGCAAAGAGGGTCTGCTCTCTTTCCTGAGGGTTTTGGTGAGGTAATATTGCAGCTCCGGACTCCCGCAGCTTCCACCCCTAGGCCCGTCCTTAGCTTCTAGTTCCTTCCCTCAGCCTTCCCGACCTCCCCCAGCCCAGGGGACCAGGGCCAGAATTTCCAGAATAGGAAAGTTTTCTTGCCCACCGACACCAAACTCGTCTAATCATAAGCCATCAACGGCAGGAAACACCTGCAAGCAGGATTCTGCCTGGTTGGAGTCCCCTAAGCAGCTGTGTGTCAGGGCTGGATGGGTCTTTAGAGTGTGCTGAGAAATGAGTGGGTCGGTCTCCAAAGCTAGATTTTCTGGAGTCCAGTGGCTAAAAATCTCAAATTAAATTCTCTACTTAGTCTCTCACTTCACAGAAAGGGTTCAGTCCTCGAGGCCGGTAATTTTGGAGTGCGGGTGCTCTAAGTTCCGCACTGAGTGTGCTTTCTCTGGGAAGAGGGGAAGTGGCACAGACTTCATAAGCCAGAGAAGCAGTTCATTCTTGAGGGCGTGTGGCGTCAAGCCATTCCATCTTCCCTACTAACTTAATGGCGTTTGTGGTTTTCCCCCTTTAATAGGCCGTGAAGTCAACAAACTTCCCCACATGGTGGCTCCCTTTACTAAAGTTGAGTAGTGAATTTGCACACAGAGTCTTGGAAATTTTGAAGTGTTTCTACAGATTGAACTCATTTCAGAATTCTCGTGGGAGTAAGGATTTTAATGGAGTTCATCTTTAACGTGAAGCAAGGCCGAAGGGAGAAAAGCCAAAGTTGGTAATAGCTTTGGGTGCTTTAGTAAAAAAAATTATCTTGTCTGCTTGATTATTGGGGGATATTCACCTCAGGCTCTTTGTGTGTGAGCTTACTCTAGAGGCAGTGCTGAACATGGAACACACACGTAAACACTGCAACATAAATCAGTGAACATATGCAGTAGAGACAAAGAGATACATTACCGTGTAGATGTGGTTGGAAGCATTATTGCAGGTAAGCAATCTGGGACATCCCCAGGAATAAACTAAGAGGAAGCAGGCAGTGTCTGGCCAATAATGGTGAAGAATAAGCAAAACTTTGTCTTCCTGGAGGCAGAATTAAATCTCAAATAAGAGAGCCAGACAGGCATTGAAACAAGAAGCATTATAGTTTTTTTTTTGTCTTAGGAAAAGCATGCAGAACTAATACAGCTTATTTAAATGTTAGATCCAAATCATAGTAACAGGAAACACTCCCACTAAATTGCCATTTCCTCGAATTTTTAAGGTCCAAATAATTAACATGCACACACTAATGGTTATTGATGGTTCTATTTCCTTTTTGAAAAAATAGATCTGAGTTCTTTTACTGGAGCAGAAATTTACAAATCTTCTTAAATTACTCAGGGACTTGGAAGCCTCCAGGGCCTCTCGGTGGATGTGGTCTTTCCTTATTGCTTTCCTCTTCCCACGTCATTTTCAGTTAAAAAATAATTTACAGTTCCCAATAGAGGGATTCCTGTTAGAAACCCTCAGCAAGTGAATTTGTACTGGGAATCTTCATGCTTTACCAGTATGTAGGCATTTCTCTAAACAAACTTCAGTTGTAAATAAAGGGGAAAAACATTTGTCACTCTAAAATCCTTAAGACTTGAATTTTTGTAGAAAGCACAATCTCACAGTTTCAATTCTTCAAATCAGTAAGAGCCACAGAAAGTGTGAAAGTGTCCAAATAGGTCATCTAGAGCTCCAAAAGCCAGGAGTAAGAGGAGACATAGACATAGAATCTAAAAGGGTTAGACCATTCTGAGCTTTAAGGATTTATGGATACTGCAAGAGGGGAGCATATCTGAACAGTGGGGTACTTGGGCAATGAATTGCCACATTAATGGTATGACTGCCAAATCCTGAGATTTAGAGGCTGTGATGAAAAATTGAATCAGGGGCAATTTTCAATGTTCATAGCATCTGTGACCAGACAGGTTCAGCACTCAGAGCCACACTCTGGATGCAGCTTTAATCAATCTACTCACAGCCAGACAGACTATCAAGACAGCAGACTCATTAGCAATTTACTGAAAATCCTGCAAGACTTCCCTTTAAAAACAAAATGACTTCTACATAATTGTCTGTCTGAAAGAACATATGCAAGAAACTAGATCTAAATTAAATTTATTAATAGGAGAGCTTGATGGCGCTTAATTCCAGAGACCAGAGCTCTGATTGTTAGGGTTTGATGAAAAATAAATAGAAATAGTAGGAATGTCGTTAAAAAATGACTTTTACCATGCTCGAAGTTCTATGAATTCTTTACTCATCTTTGAGAAATGGGAAATATTGAAAGCCATCAAAATAATTGGACTTCTTAAAAATTGGATTGTATGAGTGAAAGGTGTTTATGAGAAGTGGATGACTCCGGATCTTATCATCCAAGAGGCCAGCACAGAATAGTTAATATGTTCCTTGAGGGACTAGGATGCTGACGTCTTTTTCTGATACCCGATCATTGCGTGACTGAAAAAAAAAAAGGAAGTCATTTCATGAGCGCAACAGTGCAACAAAATATTCTGTACTTAAAGGCCATAGGCAGACAGATGTTGACAAAGAAGTCTCTTCTAAAACCATGTTCAGATAGATTTCTGCCCACTGCATATATAAATAGGAGCAGAAGGCCGGTCACCTCTGTACCCACTGGCAGCAGCAGAAGAAGCCGCAGCTTCAGACGCAGCCAGAGGGACTTCAGAGCAGAGAAGGCGCTGCCGACTCGCGCTGCTGCCTGACCCGGCGGCTCCCTCAGACACCGTCTTTCACCTTGGCCCTCTCTTTCCTTCCTCTCCTTCTTTGACTTTCTCTTTTCCTTAATCACTTAACTTCTGTCTCCTGGTGGACTTAGGCCACTTTGTCCTCGACCCCCACTTTAGCTTGTCGCCTCCTCTTTCTTCCTTCTACATCTCTCTCCTCGCCCCGTTCTCTCAGTATCACGCTCCCTTCTAGTTCTGTGCGTCTGCAAACTTTTGAACAGAATACTGGCTTCAGCAAACAAGTCCTCCAGCTCCTCCTGCTGCTCTTGTTCGTTCCTGCGGCTTCTTCTCAGGCACTAACGCCAGACGGCGATTCCTTTTGGGTTGTGATTCCAGCGCAGAAACTTGGAGGAATCCTTTGATCACCGTCCTACTTGGCAGCAAACCCTCTGCTAGCAGCGGTAAGAGTTGAATGATAAGGGGGTGGGGGAGTCTCACCAAACCAAACGGCTCGCTTGACTGCTGAGGGTACTAGTTAGCTTTCCTTCGCACCAGGTCTGGCGAATATATATATAATTTCCAACTACATATAGCAGCAAGGAAGTGGCAGGGCGAGCTCGGGCTGTCACTAAGGGGTATTCAACACCGGGAGCCTCCCACTCAGTCCCTCCCCCAGCTCCGGGAGTTCTTGGGGCTGGAAGGTGGAAGGCCAGGGAGAGTCTGACGGCTGTGTGCCCTCTTTCCCGTTCTGCACAGAATGACCATGTGTAGCGGAGCAAGACTGGCCCTGCTGGTCTATGGGATAATATTGCACAGCAGCGTGCACTGCTCACCTGACACCACCGGACTCCAGTTCCCTGGGATCAGGTAGGTGCTGGCTGTCCGAATGTATTGAGGCTGAGCTTCTCTTCACCCGACACCTCCTCATGGTCGTCCTCCTGAGGTTCCTCTGTCCCGGTTATTACCGTATACCCTCGCGCTCCAGAGCGCCTCGTCCGCCAGCTTAGGTCCGGCGGCGGGTCCCCGGCCCCGGCTCAGCCCCAGGGCCCGGCAGACGCCACTCCACTTCGGCTTGGCGCCCCTCCCCCAGCCCAAGGCAACCAAAGGTCCCGGGTGGAACAAGCGATTCTTCGGGCTGGAGAAACCTATCCACATCCAGCCCCGCCCGCCGGAGGAGGGCCGGGCATGGCCCAGAGCTTGACTTCTTTTTCCTATTCTCAGCTAGAGTTAGGAGAATCTCCGGGAGCCAGGTTGCAAGGTTGAGCGTGAAGCTCCCAGGGGCTTTGCTTTGTTGCAGCTTGTTCCGCACTGTCTTGGAGGGGTCTCCCTCACCTCAATTCAAATTCTTTTCCCTGGAAGAGCTTTCTCTCAAGTGACACGCTCTCTAACTGCATTTTGAGTCTCAGGTTGTCTTGGGGAGGAGGAGTGTTGGTTGGGTACAGTTGAGGAAAAGCGATTCGAGAGAAGGAAAAACAAGAATGAGTCTGCGAGGGAGGGGGAGAAAACCAGAGCAACGGATGCAAGGAAAGAGTAAGGGAAAGCAAGTAGGCAGGCAGGATCAGGGGAGCCCTGACCGCCCAGGGGGAGCAATCCAGGCCTTTTTCCTAATGCTGGTTTCTAATCAGTCGGGTTCCCAGCCTCAGCGCCTGAGTACTCCATGGGTCAGCCAGATAGTGTAAGCTCGCTTTGCAGAGGTGCGTTCGCGTCTCGCGGTGCACCCGGCCCCAGGCAGAGAGTTACGCCTGCAAAACTGCTTCTCCGAGCCGTGACCCAAAACGGCGCCATAGGGGCTGCTGATCATTGATTTGTCCCGAGAGATAGGTTCTAGTTTCAGTATCAGGACGCCAGCATCGGGGTACAGGGAGGGTGGAGATGGCCGGCAAGACCCGGGGGCTCCGTCCGCCGGGTAAGGGCAGAGCCGCGCCGCCTAGGAAAGGCTGGGTGCGAGGCGGCGGAGGGATGGGCTTGCCTTGCCCTTACCTCTACAGGGACGAAGGAGAGGCGAGCAGAGTAACGAATTGTGACTCTGATCCCTCCTAGAGAGCGTGACTTGCCCCTGCCGCTTTGCGAGTCTCTTCGGTGGCCCAAAGCAAGCAGTTTTTGTTTTAACCCGCCTCTCCCCGATCTATATCTAGGCTAGAGGCGGTAGGCAAGGGCGACTGTGAGGCCGCTGCGCTCCTGATGGCTCTGGGTTCCTGTTGACCATTTTTTTGATACCCAAGTTTGAGATGGGGTCCCGTCGCCCGCCATCGCTAACAGATTATCGAGAACTATTTATTTAGTGTACTTAAAAGCCCCATTTCACCCCCAGCTATTTTCAAAGGCCCTTTCCCCTGGCTAGAGCCAACGGCGGGCACCGACACACAACAAAATGAGCCGCCGTGAAACTTACTAAGTTTAGAGGCATTTGTTATTATATGTGTTCCTGCCAGATCCTCTCCAGCTTAAAATAGAAGCTGGAGGTTCTCCGTGACCTACATCTGCGCGGGGAAGGGCTCCCCTGGGCTCAGAAGCTAGGTGGGGGTGGTTGTCGGAGTTGGCAGCTGTGCACCCCATCCATCCACCCTTTCCGTTTCACTCCTGGCCTCCCCCTTTGGGTCTTCGCGTTGGCCAGAGCCTCCTCTCCTAGGGCCTTTCTCGTCCCTGCCTGCTGCTGCTTGTAGGGCACGAGCACCGCAGCGGGGCGGTCCTTCCCGGAGGACAGCTGTCCGGGGCCAGCGGAGACGCCTCGGTCTCCCAGTGTCCGTTGAGGCCGCGGCACTGCTGGATACCCTTCATTCGCAAAAGGAGGCCGGGGAGAACCGCCTCGTGGGGTGGGAATTTCATTCAGATGCAGTTTCCACCTCCTTACCCCACCCCCTACCCCATCAGGGGAGAAGAGGCAGTTCTCCGTGGGAGAACTTTGGGAGGAAGGCAAATCGGAACTAGCCCATTTTTTTTTTTGGTGGTGGGGGGGTACATCTCATAGCCCAGGACGCACTTGCGCTGACCACTACTTCCGCCCCCGATACCCCGGCAGGTCGGGGAAGAACGCGTATGACGAAGCGTACGACGAGGACGGAAACCAGCTGCAGAACTTCTTTAACTTGGAGCTGCCGGGCATAGAAAGCCTAGCCTCCGCGTCCAGGGAAGCCGAAGTGCTCAACCACCCGGGCGAGATAAGGTACTAACTGCGCCTTGGGACTGAGGGTGGGAGGGACAGTGTTTTGGTCCACTCCTTAAGTTCTTTTTCATAAAAGCCTGCAAGGCTCTCTTCTTCCTGGTTCCCACATCAGGGACAGAAAATTAGCAGCGGACAAGTCTGTGTGAACAGGAGGGCCGCCGGGTGACCGAAAGGTCTGTGGTCAAGGGAGGGCAGTGAACGCGCGCCCAGAGCCAGCGGGCAGCCCAGACTTCACACCTACCACCCAGAGGGCAGGAGGAACTTCCGTTCCTGACAGTCACTCACGGGAACATCCCCAAAGAGTTATTCGAGAGCTCTAGGCCTCTGGGGGTATCCTGTCAGCCTCCCAGGGAGCCAAGGTAGGGGGTGAGGGGCGTGCGCAGCGGCGGACTTGGGTAGCCACTAGGTGACAGAGGCAGTGATCCTGTGCGTTCACTTTGCCTCCCCGTTAGAGATGTCGCTCACGTGATCCTTAACAAGGCCTACCGCAAAGTGTTGGACCAGCTGTCCCGCAAGAAATTACTGCAGAAGCTCGTGGCCAAGGGAGTGGGGTAAGAGTTTGCGAAAGAGTTAACCGGTGTGCCATGGCGCGCGTGCGCCGGGGTGGGCCATTGTTGCGAGCGCGCGCGGGTGGGCGGTGCGGTCCTACATTCTGTGTGCACGTGGGGCCAACCAAGGGTGAGTCTGTATCCCAGGGTCTGCGGCGTGTGCGGGGCGAGTCCCGGGCCACACTCGAAGATGCCGAGGTGATACTTGAATTTGGCGAGAGAGCTCGGATTCGGGAGAGAAAAGGAGAGGGCAGGAAAACCGGGTAGTTTGATCGGTTTTGAATGTAAAAAAAAAAAAAAAGAAAGAAAGAAAGAAAGAAAAGAAAAGAAAAAGAAACCAAGTAGCCCCGCAGTCATTCAAAACCTTCGGGGCAATTTGCTGTAATTTTCGCTAAGCTTGACTTAAAATTTGTTTTCTTTTATTGTAAATTGAATTTGAAACCAACAAACCCTCAAATTTGTACATTTAGGAAAACAAACAGTTTTTGCTCGTGCCAGACATACCCAGAGCAAAGGGCTGGTTTGTAGCATCTCTCAGCAGAAGGCAGCATTTTAATAAAGCCCACGGGGAAACAGATTACATTTTTCTGTAATGAATAATTCATGTGTTGAAAGATATTGCCTACAGTCTGTCGACTTGTATTATTATCACGTTTTTCAACTTAGCACGCGAAAGAAGAGTGCTTGTGTCTGACTAGGTAGGAATTGCGGGATCCATGTAAACTCCATGGCAGCAGCCGACGTGGCATTTAGGGGTTTTTCGTTATTTTCTGTTAGGACAATTCAGTGCAGACGGACGGACAGTATGATCATATCTCATGGACAGAAGTTAGGCTTCAATTGTGGGCATTTTGCTAGGACCTCATACCGGGCGCCTCCTGTAAGGATTGGTGCCAGGAAATCCTCGGTGGGGAGGGAGGAATGAAAGGTTTCCATCGCAGTTCTCCCTGCGGCTCTTACGGGCAGGGAAGGCAATGCGGAGGGCAGTGAGTGAGAGCCCTTGCCCTTTCTCCAGGCTCCTGCGTGGGATGGGGGCCTGCCTGCTTCCCGCAGCTATTGAAACTGTGTCTCCCGCCCTGCCACCCTCTTCCCTACCCCTATCCTTGCAGTGGGATTCGAGGCGGCGACACCAAGGACGACTCAGATCCGCTCTCCAAGCGCCACTCGGACGGAATCTTCACGGACAGCTACAGCCGCTACAGGAAACAAATGGCTGTCAAGAAATACTTGGCTGCAGTCCTAGGGAAAAGGTATAAACAAAGGGTTAAAAACAAAGGACGCCGAATAGCATATTTGTAGCGATGAGTTACCAGCTACCCTGTGTATACAACCCTGACACAATGAAAAGTCATTTTTTCCCAACAAACTGAACAGTCACCGCTCATGTGTTCTATCCAAACATGTATTTATGTATGAAGTGAAGCCATTAAATGAATATTTTGATAATAATATTGTTTTTCTTTTTACAAAGCACTAGAGAATGCACAGATATACTTTGTGGACCAATTATTGGTATATATTATAAATATATATATTTAAGAATATATATACGTATAATAGAGAGCAGTTCATACAAAGTGTGCACAAGGATTGAAAATTTACCTGAGCTGTTTATGTATTTATATAAAATAGATAGAAAAATAGACAATCATTGTTTTGAATATTACTCCTATTTTTGTAAACTGGAATTAAAAGGATAGTATTTTTATCCATGACAGGCCTAAAGATATTAATACTAACCATTTGCTACTGTATATAAACAATGATGCCCTGCTCCAGGGAGATTTTGAGGTAATGATTTGGAAGAATTGCTATAGGACATTCTTTTCGCAGTGAGTCTCTGGGGCAGGCTGCTTCAATCCCACCCCAACTCAACTAGGCACTGTCCCCCTCGCTGGGTGGCAATTCCAATACTTCTGCTTTCTTTGATTCTACTTTTATATGTATGTCTCTCTTCAGAATCTTAGCCCAGAAGGAAATTCTCCCGATAAAACAACAGGTCTATCTAAATTATGCTTCTCCCCAGAGTTCATATCATTCTCTGGGGCAAGAGTTGGGAGATTGTATAGAGAAGGGAGACTTGGGTAGGAAGCTCCCTTTTCTGTACTTCCAGGAAACCCAATATCCCAAGGTTAGGACAATTGGAACAAAGTGGAAGAAATGCAGGTACACTGGAAGAGGCAGAGCATATGCAATAGGAGGAGGATCCTGGAGAGGGACTGTTTTGGGGCTGCCCCAGTTCTGGGATGCTGGGGTTAAGCTGAGTCCCCACCTTAGGTCTCCAGCCTGAGTGGACTGGGTGCTGGGTGTTGAAATGGATGCAAAGTACAATGTGTTTTTCTCCAGTGCTGTCCATGCTTCTCATCTTGTGAAATGGTCAGGACCCTCCCCTTTAAACCCTGCTCTGTAGGAGCCACCCTTTTTTTTGTGATTTTTCTGAAGACTCCTTCTTCCTACCCTCTTGCCCTGTTTAAGTTCGTTTACCATTTTCCAGTCACTTCTCTTAAACTTGTGAATGTGTCTTACTTTTTTGTTGTTTGATGCAAGCACTTATTGTAAAGTTTAGGAAACCCTATGTAGTTATCACTAAGTAATTATGCACTAAATATGAATCCTTTGTTTCTTGTTTATTGAGTTTGTAGGTAAAATGTATTTTTCTACATTATGGCTTATTGCTTAGTAAAATTTATTTCATAAAACCAATCTTTGTCATATCAGAATGTGTAGTGTTCACATGTTGCTCAGTTTTACTGATTGATAAATCATTTAAACTTCATCTTATGTATGAGTACTATCTTATATTTGTGGTCAAGTGTAAGGTAAGCAAGCTCCAACAGACTCTGGGAACTTCCCATTGTATCCCTTCTTGGCTACAGAAAGCATGTTTATCTGTTTCCTATCAATTTCTTGAACATATTGAGTAATCTCTACAAATAAAAGAACCGGCACCCAACAAGATCAAGCAACAACACGCAAACCAGCCAAACTCCCAAATTTCAGACACAAATTCTTTTGGGGAAAAAAAAAAGAAGAACAAGAAAAGATTAAACATTAGCTTGTAAAGTTTAAAGGACCTTTCCTTTTTCTTTATGGATTTTATCAGTATGAAGTCATAAATCAAAGAAAACAGAATTGGATTTGCATTCCCAGGCGGGATGGATGCTGCCAGGAGATCACATTGCAAACAGTGAAAGCACAGAGGCATTCGATCTATGCCTGAGTCCTGTGTACGGGATCAATCTTTCTTTAATTCTGCAGTCTCCTCAGGCAATGTGACGTGGGGACGCAGTTTGCAGCTGTAGTGCCTTTCTTCGCCTTTTAAATCGCCACGAATCACAGATGGCTATTTAGTGGCCCTACAATGCTGCAACACATCGGCTTGCATTTTAGTCTTATTTGTTTCTTGGATATTGGGCAGAGTTTTCTGTATTTGTGTCAGCTGTTAGTGGTGAAATAGGGCTCTAGTTAACCTTTTATTTATGAAGTCTACTTTAGTGTTTTTGTGGCTAGTTGCAAGCATTCACAGTGATCATCCAGTTTAATCTTTTGTATACTTTTTAGAAATGCCAAGAGCCTTACTAACCTGGAGCAGATTTATGATATATAGTGATAATTTAGGTAGATGTTAGTCTTGAAGCTCTTATTTTGTGTGCAAATGATTATAAAAAACATCTTAACCAAGTATTATTACACACATGATATCTATAACTAGGACTTTGATAACTGTTATATAAAGTGTGTAAAATTTGTATGAATAAATTTTTGTAAACAATGCAACTTCGTCTAATGTTTGGAGAAAAAAGAGATCAGGAAATAACTACTTTAAATCTCTTAAAGTATTATATTTTCTTTATCAACCATAAGGATTTTCATGTCTGGAGTATATATCTATCTAAGCATCCATGTATTTTCATAAATGTGCTTTAATATCTGCTTGATGGGTTATTGGATTCAACTAAAAAGATAAAGCAGCTACTCAGAGAAGATGCTTGAGAAGATATTAAGCTTATGAATGGGCATGAATGTTGGGACATTTACAGGATGCATAATTTAGATGAATTTCTGTCCCCTAGTATTTATATACATTGTTCGGTATTTTAAAAAGTTACTATCCAGTGGTGTAAGAGAGTACCTGGGTATTAGTTACATTTCTAAAAGACCAATCTAACATTGTTTTTTTGTTAGTTACTCTTCAGACTAAATTGGACTCAATAAAATCCTGTATAAAATGATTTAAACAATCAGTTTTGGAGGTTTAAAAATATGTTTAGAGACCTACAGAGAACTATTTCTATTTAAAATGCTTTGGGTAGGGAAAAAGGAAAAAGAACATGAGTAAGCACAGAGTTATTAAATACATTTAAAAGAAAGTATTCTTTGAAGCCTAGGACAAAATGTGAAAAGTCATTTGTGAATTTATTTATTTATTTATTATTTTTTCCATATTTTTTATTGTTGTTCAAGTACAGTTGTCTCCATTTTTCCCCTACCACTTCTCTCCCATCCCAGACATCCCCACTTCCTACCCTTGATCCTACCCCCCTTTGGTTTTGTCCATGTGTCCTTTATATGTGTTCCTGAACCTGCCCCCCTCCCCCTTATCCTCATTATCCCCTCCCACCTCCCCTCTGGTTACTGTCAGTTTGTTCTTAATTTCAATGTCTCTGGTTATATTTTGCTTGATTATTTGTTGTGTTGATTAGGTTCCACTTATAGGTGAGATCATAGGGTTTGATCTCCAAAATATATAAAGAACTCACATGACTCCACTCCAGGAAGAATTGTTTTATTTATATTAACACACTTTAAGGCAAAGCCTTCATATGAAATTTTTATAAATTTCTCAGTGGTATTTATTTTTGAAGTCTTTGATGATTTTTGTATTAAAACTTTTTGTATTGAGTGTCATTTATAAGTCATGTATCATTTAATTTAAATGGCTTTATTTTCATCTTAAAATTAATGCAGTCAATTAATAAATGAATAAATATGTCACAGTAGTATTAAAGGACCAGGAAGGATCAAAAGATCAGCAGGATTCAAAAACTATCTTCAGAACTTAGCTCAATATTTAAGGCCCAGAATCATATAGGGAGGAGCTTATGATCCCATTTGTAGAAATTAAATTAAATGGACACAGTACAATTCATATTTACATTGGTGTTTTATGAGATAAGGAGTTTTTCTTCATCTTTAACTCCCCCTCCCAAGGATACGTACAATGTGGAGCAAAAGTAGATTTATAGTTGTTCATATGGAAAATAACCCAATAATTATTAAGTAATAATATAAAAATAAACTGTTTTTGCATATTCACAACTGTAAACCTACTTTTGCCCACCTCTGCATGTAGTGTGCTAGTGCGGTTAAATGGAAAAAATGAAGAAAGATGTTTTTCTTTGGTTGGGGCTAATGACTTGTCCAGAAAGCACAGATAAGTCCCAGGCTTGGCTGACTTCAAGTCAAGTTCATGTCTGCAGCAACTAACTATTCTTTTATCTGAGATAACTAAAATGATGGTTTTTCCTTGGAAGATTTGATATGTTTAGGTATCCAAGAGGTTATAATATGTGTCTTAAGGCTGTAAGGGCTGGGAATACATTGATCAATATGACACAATTTATTGGACACCTAAAATGGGTGAGGAATGCTGGTTGAGAGAATTTAACTAGCACCTGGGATTTAAAGTAGTACTTTTCCAAATAATATTTTTCTGCAACAGAATCACCTAGGGGGCTTGTTAATAATGCAGATTTTAGGGCTCTAATAGAACCAGTGAATCTTTATTTTAAATACAAACCCTAGATTAACAGGTAATGAAGACTGAGACTGTATAGATTTAGAATTTGGGGATCTATGTAGGCACACAGAGGTGTACTGGCACTGGGTGTTTTTTCCCCCATATTAAATAAGCAACAGGTCATGCTACCTATACACAGTAATAAATACACCAATGAGCCATGTTTTTCTGGAATGGATATTAGGTTTTCTTGAAAATTGCAATATTTCCTTTAGGTCACTAAGGCCATAGTTAGCACCATTTTCCTTACATGTTCTGGTTGGAAATGTCAAAGAAGCTTCTGGAATGAGAGTGATCCTATAAGGAGCATCTAGAAAATTCAGTCACATGACTGAGAGACTACAAAAATAATAGAGAAAAATCATGCAGCTAGCTGGCAGTAATTCTGCAGAACCAGAAGTCCACTTCCAATTACATTACATCCAAACTTGGCTTGAGTATATCTCCCCAACTGTTAACAAGATGATTTCACTTGGACCCAACTGTGACTTCCAACTCAGCCCTGCTCACACCGTTACAAGATTGGGAACCAAGATCAAGTTTGGGTTCTTCTCTTTTATTATCACCCTTTTTTGAAGAAGGGAAATGCTTGTTCCTCTTGCTGCTGCTCATGGTCTCACCACTGGCTCCCAACATTGGTTTGTAACTGGTCAGCCTGCCCTGGGTTATTCTCCCTTCAACCAGGCTGTGTTAGCTCCTCCTTATCATCTCTCTCTCATCAGATGTTCCAGGGGAACTTCCATTGTCACAGAGTTCAAAGTTCTTCATACTCTGGCCCCACTTTGTAGCCTGTCTTACCTTCCACTGTTCCCCAACATGGATCCCACTTCTTCAGGAGAGGTTCTTATTAGTCTTTGAAGCTCAAATGCTTCTTTTCATCTTTGGTCTGTCAACAATTCTGAGCATGCTCAGAATGTCCTTTCTCTATCCACCTAAACGTTCTGTAAGGTACAACTCAAGTCCTCCTTTTCCAGAGATCCTCCTCAGCCTCCCAGAGTGACCATATCTTCATTCCCCGCCACCATCCTCACACTCTTTTCCTGTAGCATTATTTGTGATCTTTAGTTCCAAAGTGCTCTGTCCTTTTCCTTAACTATTTTGAAAGTGCATGGTTCATTTCCCTAGGTAGATGACCTCCTGAAAGGCATAGATGATACATTGCACTTTAATGCCCAACACACTTCTAAGAATGTTTTGAGTGATTGAAATAACCAGAGGACCTGCAGAATTCACTATGACATTTTCCCCTTGTTCTAATAGGACAGCTACAAAGCATATACAGGAAGTGAAATTAACATATTAATTAGATGTTCATCATGAATCAAACTAGCTCTCCCTCCAAGAAAAGCTACATAGAAAAGAATACCAAATTACTTAGGTGTGTTTCTATCATAAGAGAAAATGAACTTTAAATTCACATATAGGCAAAATGCTGCAATAGACTCAAGCCACTTGGCTTTTATTTTTTCAATCTGGTAAAGAAGGATTGTATTTTCAAACTAAAGAGAATTCACCTTATGCCTCGAGACAGTAATACCCTTTTCTAGAATAAAGGAAAAGGGTTTTCTTGAGATGCAGACTGGGAATGAACTGCCCTCAAAGTGATAATTTACAGAACAGTTATCTATCTGCAGCTGCCAAAGAAACTTCTTCCATCAACAGAAATGTAATTTGAAACATGAGTTCATAGACAGGAAAAAGGGCATAATGAACAATATTTTTAACAACAGTGGAACATTATATATAGGTGATGTCATCTGGTCTATTTTTTTTTTGCTATATATCTTTGATATATATTACAGAATCTTAATTCAGGGGGGAATATTACCTGTAACCCTAAAAGGAAATAGACAGTATGATGTGTATCTGTGCACATTTCCCCTTCTTTTATGAACTATCCTGATTTTTTGCTCTCTTGACCACATGTCCCTCATGCAGGACATGGCTTTTATGAAACACTAACTCAATTACTAGCTATAACTAATCAGGATAATTGTACTCCCTAACCACAGTTCAGGACTTGGCATGTGGTCCCTTTTAGTATAGAAGGATTAGAGAAAAAAATTTTTTTTTCTGGAAGCTTCTGGAAAATAAGTTCTTCTTTCCTTCTGAATGTTTAATGCAACACACTGCATTAGATGCCAGCCTTGTAGTGGAACTGATAACACAAGAGACAGACAGGATGCACAGGAAGAAACACGTCCTTGACAATATTACTGAGCCCTTGAATCAAACCAACCCTGAAGCTTGAAGTACAGCTGAACTTTCCCCATTAAATAAGCCAATAAATCCCCTTCATTGCTTAAGCCAATTTTTGTGTTTGTTGTTTGTAATATCAGTCAGGATCTGTGTTTCAAGTAATAGAAAACCAAACTCAAACTGGTCTAGTATCTTTTCTTAAGAAATGGAAGAGAATGTTAACACTAGTTTGTAGAGATTACAAGGAACAGGAAGTGTTAAAATTTCCATTGCCCCAGTCAGTGTTCCAAAGACTTCATATCCTTGACTAAAATTTTACTTAACATTTTAATATTTAAATATTATAAAACATTTATAAATGAACCCTACTAACTGCTTTTACTATATGAGAAATATCCTTTGAGGAGCCTTGACTGTCTTTGCAATCAACTATACTACTTCTTTGAACCACTAGTGGCTTAAAACTGCTCTGCTCTCATTTAAATTTTTTTTTTTGCTATTTTCTACACTGAAGAAACTTGTAATAAAACTCAATAAAAATCCACTCTGGAAGACAGTTTAGTTATTTCTTGCAAAAGTAAACATACTCTTAGCACAAGATCAAGCAATCAGGCTCTTTGGAATTTATCCAAAGGAGTTGAAAACTTATGTTCATGCAAATCCTGCACGCCGATGTTTTACTCATAATTTGAAAACTTGAGAGCAGCCAA